ATTCTCCAAGTAAAAGCTGTCTCCTTTCTATCTGTGTCTATGGCTCGTCCGCATCACTCATCTTCGATTGCCTATGAAGGGAAACTAACACATTGGGTTTGGGGATATTTGGGTCCGGTTATATATTAGGGGAAGCAGATGCAATCTTTCTTTCCCGACCAAATGACAACAGGATCACCAGTCTACTCTACCACAATTCACCATTTCAATCTTTATACAAAAGGTTTTCCGTACGAGCTTCTTCCACCTATACCGCTGTTGAAGCAAATGAAAAATTGGTGTCTTTCTGGTCAGCAATGGAAGCAATCGTCCCCACCGTCTTAAAAATAAAAGCACCCCCTCTGCGTCTCTTCTCATTCACAAGGAGTGATTTGTGGTCACCCAGTCATCCAATATTCCGATTCAGAAAGATTTAATCAGTGTTCTTCGTCTTCTTACCTGTTTGGATTCAGGTGTTCTCTGCTCTTTCCCGCCAATAATAGTGAGAGAGATTTGGTTTACGGGGGAGACCCTCCGATTTCTTTGGGATCGGAGTTACCCTTCAGTTTACACTTCTATTTTTTGGGCCGGTGTGTCCAAACAAACTGAAATCTCATTAAGGGCTTGACGTAAGCCCAACATGTGAAATCTCAGAGCCTCTCTTTTGCTAAATACACACACATATTTTTGTAATTCCTATCATACCTTTATTCCCATCTTTTTATTAAAAGTAGTCTTTCTATCCTTTCAAAAAAGTAGTCTTTTTATTTTTTGTACTACATCATTAATTACTGTATACAACATTATTAATCAGTGTGAGGATATAATTTTAGTTTTTGTCTCGGACACCAAACATACTTAACACTACAAAAAAAACCGCCCTTTGTCACGGATTTTTGTCACGGTTTACGGCCGTGACAAAGTTGTCACGGGCTTTGTCACGGAATATTGGGATTTGTCACGAAAATGTTTTGTCACGGATAGGTCTGTGACAAAATCCGTGACAAAATATTGTCACGGATTTGGTCCGTGACAATTTTACTTCGGCGACCGGTTTTTTACTCCGGTGAATACTTTTTTTGCTTCCGGGCATTTGTCACGGACTATTCCGTGACAAATCCGTGACAAATTTCAAAAAAACTTTGTCACGGATCCATCCGTGACAAAATCCGTGACAAACCTCAATTATTGATTTTCCAGCGGTAACCTTTAATAATCCGTGACAAATCCGTGACAAACGGTCTCACAGATTAATTTCCGTGACAAAAACGTTATCACGCCCCTGGTGTCACGGATTTTTTCCGTGACAAATCCGTGACAAAAAATCATTTGTCACGGATTTTTTGAACTACCGTCCGTGACAAAAGGCGAGTTTTTTTGTAGTGTAAGATGGTCCTGGAATTGAATTGTTACATCATAATCAAAAAGACCATCATTGACAACAACTATATGCAACCAACTATCACTATCAACCCTACAGTTAGATATAAAAATGATCACCCCTAAAAAAGCACTCTTTAACCATCAAACAAGTTTGGCATATCAATCATTTGTCATATAGATCCTTCTAACGACATAATAACTAGTTAAATTGTGAATCAATTTTGTAAACCTAAAACTAAGGGCTCTCTCTCTCTCTCTCTCTCTCTTTATATATATATATATATATATATATATATATATATATATATATATATTTGTGTGTGTGTATGAGAGAGATCAAATACAAACCATGCTTAAGCTACTAACCTACAAACTCAATAATATGCATCACTTTGAACTTCAATATGTAGTAAAAATAATGTAAAGATGCAGGGGTGAGATCACATACAAACACTAGTCCTCCCATTCAAATCATCTTTACATTATTTGTATTGCACATTGAAGTTCAAAGTGTTTCATATTATTCATGCCATAAAATAGCAGTTTCATATTTACATTATTTGTCACTACAAAAAAAAATACGGGATTGGCACAGAATTTGGCATGGACTTACCAATTTTTCGTGTCAAATAACTCGAGTCAAAGTATTTTTGACAGGAATTTGTCATTTCCCTGCCAAAATCCCTGTCAATCCCGTGGTTTTTTGTAGTGTGTGTTGCATATTAAAATTCAAAGAGTGCATCTTTACATTATTTGCACTGCATATTGAAGTTCAAAGTGTTGCATATTATTGAGTTTGTAAGTTAGTAAGTTCAAAGTGTTGCATATTATCTGCACTGCATGTGATATCACCCATATATATATATATATATATATATGTGTGTGTGTGTGTGTGTGTGTGTGTGTGTGTGTGTGTGATAGTATATAGTTACTGTATACAACATTATTAATTAGTGTGAGGATATAATTTCAGTTCTTGTCTCGGGCACCAAACATACTTAAGACGGTTCTAGAATTGAATTGTTACATCATACTCGCAAAGATCATCATTGACAATAACTATCTGCAAACCAACTACCATTATCAACCATATGATTAGATATAAAAATGATCACTCCTAAAAAAACAATATGAATCTTTAACCCTCAAACAAGCTTGACATAACAATCATTTGTCATATAGATCCTTCTAACGACATAATAACTAATTATATTGCGAATCAATTTTGTAAACCTAAAACTAAGCGCTTTAACAAAAACAGAACAGTGTAAAGTTAAAAACAAATGTAATGTAAAAATAAGACCATAAAATATAATTTAACTGATTAAGGCTCCAAACATCTATAAAGGAGCATCTCATTGTATCCCCAACTCACTCATGTCAGTTTCCTTCGGAGCATCATCTCCCAAACTCTAGCACCTCATGACTCCAAGGCGGCGCTTCAGGAGGGGGACACCGTCAATCTGTTCTATCCATTTTTTACCTTTCATGACTCCTAGTATGGTCGTTGTTGTGCTCTTGCCAATCGTACCCATCCCTCTACCGCTTGAGCACTGAAGTAGTTACCACAAAACACATAGATAAGACAACACACAGCACGATAAGCAAATTGGCATTCCAAATACCGCGAACGAAGTTGGCCCCAACTTTAGGCATACCCATATCGGTCTGATTTTTTTGAATGTATTCGAACGTTTTTCACTACCGTAAACTTACTGACCACAAATTTGCACGATTTGTGCCTCTTGGATGCGTTTTAAGAATTGTTGGTCATTTTAAAATTTAGAAAAATATGGAAAATAATTTAGTTGTTGATAGTGTTTGAAATAAATAACGATTTTAAAAGCACAGTTAGAATTTGTATGAGAATTGATTTTTTGTGTAATATTTATGTAATATATACTCGTAGGCCATAAATGTCTTTTCATGGAAAGACCAATATATAGTACGGAAATGAAAACAGGTTTCATGTATTATACACTCTCCATTCTTTATTAACTGTCTCGCATTCCTTTTTGGGACGTTTTTAATTATTTGTCCCTCTTTCCCTTTTTGGTAAGTGTTTTCAATCAAAATACCTTTATACCCCCACTTTTATTACCATCACCCCTTTCTCTTTCCTACTTTTTCATTTACCCACAACTCACTACACCTTTTAACTACCCCTATTATTTTTCTCTTAAAACCCGTGTCAAAGCCTAAGATGATTCATATTTAAGAACGGAGGGAGTACATGGTATTTCTTTTGAAAAAATATCCCTGAATTTTTAAAAATCACAAAACACTACCTTCAATGTTATACATTCACACAAATTCATCATTAATCTTCTTTTCTCTTACCCGATTTGCAAAAACAATTTTTTAATAAAAAGAGTATTATTATTTGTAGAAGGGAGACGTATACCTAGGAGTTCTTGTTCTTAGATTTCAGATAGTGGCCAACGATTATGACGAGTTTCTTATTGATGGAGGCAGTTGGAATACTTGTAATTAACTTGGTTTGCAATTGGGATTGCCACATTTTGGAAGTTCATGGAGAATGACATGTTCATCTTACATTCATACTTATTTTACGTGTTTGTGGGATTATTTCTTGCGTTTTTTGTTTAATGTGTGAAAAATATTTATATCTATTTTATATGTTTGGACTTGCAAGTATCTATTTTTCAGAGTTTTGTTAAATTTTCATTTGTAGGAGCGAAAGTCACGCCTTTATATTGCCTTTAGTTTAATACCAAAGCTCATGTGGTTGTGCATTAATAATATTCATGCAAATATATTTTACATCTGAAAGGCATATATATCATTAATGAGTTAGAACACTTGTATCCAAACAATAATTTATTATATAACATAAGTTCACTTAAATTCTTCTCAAGCAATATTTTACATATACACACCTAAGGGCAATTCCAATGCAACTGTGGATTGCATTTCCACATATCAAATGCGGACTTTGTGAAAGAGTGTAGTTTTCGATGCAAATAAAAATGGACTAGGTCATGTTGAGTTGACAAAGAGAGAAATGAGCAAGGTGCACTAGGAGGTCCATTTTGAGATCCCGGGTCTCACCTCCTCTTCTCAACCCATGTGTAATTATTTAATCATTACTTTAATTTTTAAATGAATGTTTTTGCATTGGAGCATAGGGATGGACCTGGGCCGGGCCGGTTCCGGTTCCAGGCCGGGCCCGGGCGGGCTTTTTTTGCAAAATGTTGGGCCCGGAATCGGCCCGGGTTGATACCGGGTCCGGGCCTAACCGGGCCGGGTCAAGTTCATTTTTTTTTGTTTCTAATTAACACCCGACCCCCCCCCCCCCTACTCCCACCTCCCAAACCCTTCCAAAACACCCAACCCTAACCTAGAAAAGCAAAAAAAAAAATTAAAAAAAAAATTGAACCAGGCCCGGCCCGAACTGCCCGAGCCGGTTCACCAAAAGTTGGGCCCGACCCCGACCCGCCCAACCCGCCCAAACGGGCTAAAAGCCCGGAACCGGCCAACCGGTCCCAGTCCGGTCCGGGCCCAAACAGTAACGGGCCGGGAGGTTCCGGGTCGGACCGGGCCGGTTTAGTCCATCCCTATTGGAGCATAAAAAGGATAGACTCTCTTCATTTTTTTGCCACATGCTCAATGGACCCTTTCCATTTATATGACACCTCACCACCAATGCACCAAAAGAATTCGAGACGATTATAGGTTTTATTTTCACCTTTTTATCTCGGTACAATTCAATTCCCCTAAAATTTGTTCATTCGCAAAAAAGCCGGAATCCTAGAAGGGGAAAATGGCTGCCTGCTTACCATTATCGTCTTCTCTACCACACGCACTCTCCTCTGAGTTTTGCGGCAAGGGAAATGTTGAGAAGTCACATTCTCTCTCATGGTCTTCTTCCTTCCCGCGGCTAAAAATCTCCACGCCTTTAGCTCCATACCATCGGAATTTCTCACCCAAACAGGTATTTTTCTTTTATCATATCTATTTTATTTTCTTTAGCGTAATTCTTGTTAGAGTAATGGACCAAAATCATACTCAAGACTTGTTAAACTGTTAATTTATAATTTAATTTCAATTTTTTTGCAGAACACATCGTGAAAGATTATTAATACGTTGTTATGTTTATTTGCCCCTTATTGCACAATCAATTACACCCAGAAGAGTGTTGCTGGAAAGCATTTCAATGTAGATTGCATAAACATTTGTGGGAACGATTTCATTTTCAGTTTCAATCCAACATTCAACCTTCTAGGTTACAGTAGTTGGAAGACGTTGTGAAGTGAAGAACAAATGAAACTGTGGAAAAGCGCGTATCAGCTTAAAAAGAAGTGCTTTTGGAACACTAGTAAGAGAAAGTCCACTCCTCAGGGTCTGTTTGGACTTCGGAAAATGCTAGAGAAGAAAACAGAGAGAGAAATAAGAAGGAAAAATAACTAGTAGGTAAACAGAAAATAGATTCAAACTATAAATCAATTTTAGATATTTTTTCTTAAAACCTCAAGCTCATTTTATTTATTTTCCACCTGACAAAGATCAAGAGATCAATATACTACATGCATATATAATTAAAATAAAATGTCATATTTCATCATCTTTTTCAAGGAAAAACCAATGACTAGAAAATTATAGCCCCTTTAACATTATACGTACTATTTCTTTTGCCTAGCTGTTTCCAGGATCCAAGCATACCCTTAGTGATAAAAGCAGTAGTGGTATAGTGTACATAAAGCTATTATTCCCCTTTAATGAGCATTTAGGAAATATAAAGCCAAACTACCATCTTGCACTTGAAAGGTGTTTTCACTTTTCTGGGTTCTTTTAGGCTTTGCATCAATCTAGCAGAATAGGTGCACAAGCATATGCAAAATCAAATCTTTTGGTTTCAATATCAGTGCATCCGATCTTATTTGGATGCTAAGAATGTGTACCACCACACAATGTATCTTATTGCTTCCTAATAATCAGAACTATTAGGTAAATACCAAATATGTTTGAGGCCCTGCAAATATATCATTTCTGTTAGACTTCTGATTAAAAATAGGGACAGTTTGACTTTGCACCCCATTTTTTGAGTGATATTTGACTTTGCACCATATTTTTAAAAACATTAACATATGCACCCCATTTCACTATGAAATCATTTGACTTTGCACCCCACTCCTTCACAATTGTTGGGCTGATGGGGTGCAAATATTAATGATTTTCAAAATGGGGTGCGAACTGCGAAGTCTAATATCGCCCAAAACATGGGGTGCAAAGTCAAATTCTCCCTTAAAAATATTATTTTTGTTTTTCATCCCTATAATCTACATTGATTCTTGTTAGTTGTTACTCCCTCTCAATCGGTCTACCTTCAATAAATAAACTGACAGGGCTCGTAGAAGTGTCAAACTCTAATATGGCTTTTCCAGGTAGACCAGCCCTTCTGTAATTTATCCTCGATTTCAACAGAAGATAGGGCCTAGTGAACTCATCATTATCACTTATAATCTACAATTGTTTGGCTATCTTGAAATAAAACTTCTAAGCATTTTTATGATGTGTAAAAGCCAGACAAGATTACTGTGATGTTGCCAGGGAGGGTTAAAATGAAAACAACATGAATTACTGTGATGAATCACAAAGCCAATTTTACTACTCCGTAGAACCTAAAACAAAAACGATATACTCGTGTTTAAGCCTTGTGTAAATTTGAATGGCTTCAGTTGTGTTGATATATGTGCCCTATATCTGCTAGAGCTCAGTTGTAGCAGCTGCCTACACAAGGAGATCTCGGAGTGAATCTGCAAAGAAACCTAATCGAAAATCATGGAAACAAAGGACAGATATGTATATGAGACCATTTTTGTTGGATGTTTTCTTTTCTAACCGGTTTATCCAGGCAAAAGTAATGCACCGACCAACCAGCAAGGTCATCTCAGTGGCTACAACAAATGCCAAGGACCTTAGGAATACTCTGCCCTCACTTTCTGACGATAATGCAGCCAGGGTTATTGGAAAGTTGATTGCTGAGCGTTCGAAGGATGCTGATGTCTTTGCAATGTCCTATGAGCCTAAGAAGAATGAGAGGATACAAGGCAGGCTGGGGATAGTTCTTGATACAATTGCAGAAAATGGTATTATCTTTCTTTAGGATCCAACTTTAATGGCTTGTTTGGTTACCTCTGAAAGTGTTACCTTTAGGAATTAAAAAGACCGTGCTACACCACTCATTCACCTAAACTAACAGTGTTTTGCTTTCCAAACAAATGACTTCATTTTACCCAACAGTGATTCCATTTCCAGAGGTGTGGAGTGGAGGTTTGGTTTCTTGAACAAGTTTATTTATTTTATCAGAAAGTGGTTTCCCTGGAAACAACCAAACGTGCTCCAGGGTTTGGTTTCTTAGTCTCCATTTTTAAAATAAAAAATGTTTCTTGTTGTTATGAAACGAAGTGGTGAAAATGTAGAACTTCTTCACCACTCTGTAAATGGGTTATGTTTGTGCATATATGGGAGATCTAACTTGTAAGATGTAAACAGTGTTAAGGTTCTTTTTCTTTCTCTGAATGATGGTTCTATGAGAGACTTCAGTACTTGTTAGTTGAATCTCTGAAATGTTTGAAAGGTGAAGCATGGGGTAAACATTCTATAAGTCAATAATCAAGTTAACCTTTTTGTTTATTATTCTTATTTTATTATATTGTAATTTCGTTTAGTTTAGTACAGGGGTAAGACTGCGTACATCCGACCCCCCCTTACCCCACCGTAGGTGGGAGCCTTGGCGGCACTGGGGTAAATGAAAATGATGAAAATGATGTAATTTCGTTTAGCATCAAATATATTATAATAAGTATTGTAAATTTGTAATGGTAATACTAAAATCATTATTAAAGCAGACATGATTCTAAATAAGAATAACAGGTTCCTCCTATCCCCCCTCCCATTTTTGTTCATTCTAAAATGCTTGTCCAGTTGTCCTAAGCCAGGTTTTGTTATACTTTAATCTGTATGGCTCACACTCATTTGCATTCTTACAAATTCAATGTTAAATACGAAGCAAATTAAATGTAGTACTCTATTACTCCCTCCGGTTCTCAAACAACTTCCTTTTCGGGAAGTCCCGAAATTAACTTCACACTTCTTCTTATTTCCTGATTTGACAAATTATCTACACCAAAACAGTGCAAAACAGTGTCAAACAGTGTCCAAACAATGCACTACACAGTAAAGTCAAATTTATTTTCTTAATCTGTGTGAAGTCAAACCGTGAAGCTCTTTGAGAATCGGAGGGAGTATTATACGGAGTATTTCCTAAAGTACTCTTTCGATTTTCATAAAGAACTTTTGTTCCTCATTAAAACATAATTTTACAGAGCATAACATGGGATATTGACTTTATCCGGCCCATCAGTCCATCACGACGGTTCTTTATATTTCCTCCTGATTCAGTAAATGCGACCTTAACTGCTTCAAAAACTTCTTTCGCAGGCTTATCAGCATCAATCTAAGATAAAAAAAAAGTTAATTAAATGATACGTAGTATTAATAATGGTAATAATTTGTTGTTAATGTTATAACAACCAATTTTTTTCTTCACACAAAGATGAACTTGTGTATCAAATTTCAATCTTTTTTGGAAAATTGCCCTAAGTATTAGTATATTGGTTTTGAAATTATTCTTATGTTTTTCTTTTTTGAAATATGAGTCATAATTGAAACGATTGAAATCTTTTTCATTTTTGGAAGTAAATGTTAGGTAGATTTATGGTACCCATAAGGTACCATACTTTTGTTCACATGGACCAATGAGAATGTAGCGGTTGAATTATTTAAATCTAAATTAAAAATGATAAAGTGATGTGGTCCAATCAAATGAATGATAGGTACGGTATCCCATTTTTTAGAAAGGTACCGGAGTGGTCACCTAAATATTACTCCCTTCGTCCCGTTAGAAGGTTCATGTCCACTATTTTCATGGTCAACTTAAATCATTTTTAATTTTTTACTTTATAAATCAATTTTTTGCCAAATTTACATTTTTTTTATCAGGCTTTGTAGCGGTTTTAATGTAGTTTCTGAATATGTTAATTTTATTTACTAAAAATAAACAAATTGTGAACAGAGATTAAGTTGCTTTATCGATAGTCAAACATCGTAAACCGTTCACGGGAACCTTCTAGCGGGACTGAGGGAGTATTATGTTAATGCGTAGTACAGTAGTACTGCAATTATTTTGACATTAATGACTCCAAGGCACAATAAATACGATCTTGTTATGTCTATTCAAGAAAGAAAAATATAGTAGTCCTATTTTAGAATTCCAAAACTTGTTTACTCATATTCCAAGAAATTTCCCATCTTTTTTAACTATTAGTGCAAAATATTTGTGTCACAATTTATCAAAAAAACTTTGTACCAACTTGTTTCGGTATGTCTCACTACACTGAAAATATGCATGGTTGAAATGGCAGTAACAATAATGCTCTTCTATACATCACCTTTTAATTTATTAGTATGTATTATTCAACGTGTAAGTCAATATTGACCATGTTTTACGGGAGGAAGGGAGTAATAATTGTCTAATTGACTTACAAAACACGGAAAAATAAACGATGGAAATTTAATTGTGGGATAAAGGTAATATACAAAATATTGAAATTAAAGGAACACCAACTTAAATTCAAGTTGCATCTCCTATAATGGAGTATACATTCACACACGTCCTCCATTCAAATCAAAGAATTAAGGTAAGTGACAAATACATTTATGTGATTCACCAACATTGTATTATGAGAGGAAAATGGCTAAATGAGTGAATTGATGGAAGAGTACCAATTTGGAGAAGCAGAGTGGATCTCTGCTGGAAAAAATGAACCTCTGGTGCGCACGTGTATAAGACCTACTGTCGCTTAGCAGACTGAGTCACCGTGATTAACCTCCCCACCATCCTGTCGGGTCGGGGTGGGGGGAGCCTTGGGGTTGGGCATTCAACCTTTTTTCTTGGACCAAGGGTGTAACCAAAATGCTCCACAATTTTTTGACATTGAGTACCCTTGCCACTCCCTGGCCCACCCATCATAAGAGAGTAAGAGGATCAACAATTCCATTTGTACACAAAACGTGTACATATTTAGCACACATGTACGTAATCGTCTGTACACAAAGGCAATGCTCGTGCGGTAATTGTCTTGTTCATAGACAATTACGTACTAATGTGTGCCAAGTGTATACAAATTTTGTGTACAAATAATTTTTTCTATTACAATTATATGGGGTACTTCTCACTTGCCATATTATGCACACATTTTCTATACACGCCAAATAGGTTATTTGTGAATTGTGAACACTAACAATTTGACTTAAATGTAAAAAAGTTTAAAATTGTTTGTGTATACAGATAAAAAGGGCGCTAGCAAGTACATGTGCATGGATTAATGTAGGGGCATGTTAAGCTGAGACTCACTCCAAATTAAAAATCCTTTATTATTAGTTTAAACAATTTCGTGTAAGATTGATTAAAGTATCTTTTGTATACGTATCTAGTGACGGGTTGCGAGTAAAAATATCGTCTTTATCAAACTTTTGGACGAAGTTGCTTATAAAACACTGCCCTTTTTTTGGTACTAATTCAGTTGAGTGAAAAAAGTAAAAACATAAATCTCTTTTACTTGACATTGCGAATTGAAGATGACTAGTATAGTTTTTCATACCATACGCATTATATATTTTATTCATTTCATCAACAAATTAAAACATATTTTCGATATAAGTTTTTCTATGTTTCGACATATTTTGATAATTGAAGAGTTTCAATAGTTTTAACAAATTTGGTCACTTAATTTGTAAGTCCATAGGAAATTTGTGAATAATAATGATTGTGAATGAGTAAATATTAGAATTTGAGAAGCACTTGGATGATTACCAAGGACAAAGACGATCTTAACCTTTTTGTAATTTGAGAAGCTGCCTCCGTTTATTCCAATCCCTGCATGCAATTAGACATTGTTTGTCGACTACTTTTAATAGGTATGACTACTCAATCTACTTCCAAAAAGACATTATTTAACCTTTGTGTAATTTTAGTAGGTATATGGCTACTCAATCTACTTCCAAAAAAGCAAAAATCACATTGTGTTCGTTTTATAAGCCTAGTACAACTGTACAAGCACACAAAGTAGACAAGTGTTAAATGTCTCAAATGAAACTCCTAATATCTCATCCGCTCAAGAGGAAGTAGTTTCTGATGCCCTTGAAATTGAGCGGGATCCAGGAAAACACAAAACGATAAGTGATAGGCCGTTAGAGAAAAGAGATGAAAGATGAATTTCTTGCCGATCGTTTGACCATCTTTATTGAAAAGGAATTTGCCAACAAAATCGACATTGAGTCTGTCATAGATGAGTATGCTAAGGTCAAAGAGCGTCGTGTTCAGTTAACGTTTTAGTTTCAAACATTGCATGTATTGTTTAAAAATATTACTATGAATTTTAATGGATTTTAATCATTATGTTCACACTATTGTCGCTTTCAAAATTTTTATATAATGTTTTTAGAATTTTAGTGTATAGTTGGTCCAGGGTAAACATCGGTCCTGACTAAGCCCCTGTACACACCCTTGTGGTGTCATCCTTTATGAAATTGATTATAAATTATGATGATTATATTTGTTTTATTGACAATATATTGTTATATTATATTGTTGTTCATGCCAGGGGCGGATCCATAAAAAATTGTTATTGAGGGCACTGACATGTATGTGTTGAAGTATAGATATCAAAATACACTTCAAAAGTTCAAATTTGAATATGCAATAACCTAATAATATTAATATTGGATAGAAAGAATATTATGCATGGGCGCTATGAATTCTTTCATTGACAATATTATTCGATATATAACAACTTAACTTTCGAAAAAATGATATATTACTAACGGAGTTTTCCGGGATAAAAATATGACTAATTATGTGTTTTGGATAAAAATTTGATCAATCACTGTATACGAGTAACTGCACAAGTGTCACATGCTACTGAATATGTCATTTTTAGAAATTTTTTAAATAAGTCATATTTTTATCTTTTGAATTTAGTTTAGTGATACAACAACACTCTCACACTATATTATGTGTTTGTTAAATTATACTCCGTATTCATTATTTTTGTACTACCTCCGTCCCATAAAATTCTTCTCACTTTGACTTGGCACGGAAATTAAGAAAGTGGAATAAAGTGGAAATGTATGATTGTGGTTGTGTAAGAAAAATGTGAAATGAATGTGAACCGCACAAATTGTTCAAAAATGGTAAGTGAGAAGAATTTTCTGGGACGACCCAAAAAGGAAAGTGAGAAGAATTTTATGGAACGGAGGGAGTAATATATATCAATAAAATAATTGAAGAGTTAAACTTCTAATTTATAATCAAATCTATTAAAAACAGTGTCATGATTTTATAATGCAATTAATTAAGTTAATCAAAACAAAAGTGATTTAAAAAGTTCACCTAGTGCTCCGTATAAAATAGCATATAGTCTGCTATGAACATTGTAAATTTAAAGCTAAGATTAAATGAATCACTAATTAAAGTAAAAGTAAATATGTAAATTATAAACTTTCAAGATCCAATCCAAAATGGATACAAACCAGAATCTTATCAAACGCTATAACTATAAGTAAATAAAAATTTAAAATTCCAATACCAAAATAGATTTCATTTATAATGCTCCGTAATTCTCTAGACTTCACATAAAATAAAAAGTTATGGGCTTTAATGGGGGCATTCGATTCTTCTTATCTGGGGCAAACCATACTATTAATATGGGTATTACATAATTGTTTCCGGACGGAAGCTATACTAGCACGTTAACATGGCTTCTTGGTGAAACATTTGAAAAGTAATTATTTTATCATCACAATATATTTTGATACATTAAATTGTATAATTTAGTCAACATAAAATGATACATAGGAACGCAGAGTATAAAGATACCTAGATAAATATAGTGTATGTGACAACAATTTTGAAGTGTAAAAAACATGTATGTTCATTTGAAAGGTTAATAAAGTAGCCAAGATACTACATTTTATAATGTAACAATGAGTTTTCTTTTTTTATCCATGTATGTTTGAAGGATGGTTTGGTGTACCTGCTAGGGGCAGGGGAAATTAAAATACAATGACGCAGGTATATTGCACTTATCTTATCGAAAAATATCATGGGAGTTCTTTCTTAAAAAGGTTGCGAGTTTTTCTTGAAAAATTGAAGTTGATATTTTTAAGCGACACCTTTTACTTGGATAGTTGGATTAAACATTTTAAAACTAAAAACATGAAACATAAGCCAAGTATTTTAAACTGCTTTTCACTTCTTCTGTTGTATGTAGTATAAAAGTACTGCATTTTGCATTGGCTTGGGGATCGGCACGAAGCAAGAAGATCACGATTCCAACCAATCCTTATTAAAGATCAAGTATTTATTCTTGTGGTAAAGATAAAAAGATCAATCTACTTGTATGTAATAGCTATAGCTACTAGTACGAATCCAATTCCACATAAAGCTTCACTACGTGGTTCCTTTCCTCAATTCTGATATGATCATTCTTTACACTAATTATAAAACAAAACAAAAGAAAACAATATTCTAAAGTAAAGGTGATATCGATGATGTAGTAATGGACTTCTCAACTGATGCACAACTACATACTCCCTCTGTCCCCGTAAACAACTTCACACTTTCCTTTCCGGACAGTCCCGAAATTAACTTCACGCTTTTTCCCACTTCCTTATTTGGCAAATTCTCTACATCCAAACAGTGCCAAACAGTGTCAAAACAGTAAAATTTACCCCCTTGTAAGTTTATTTCCTTAATATCCGTGAAGTCAAACTGTGAAGTTGTTCACGGGACAGAGGGAGTATATATATTGCTCCTAAATTTCAACTCCTTTAGTAGAGGTAGATCTGATTGAAATGACTATATAAAATTCATTTGAAAAAATATAGATGGAAAGGAACTAATATTTAAAAGATTGTGTTTCAACAAAATGCATAAATAGATAACAGATTTTGCAAAACATTGTATACTACTGGGGTCAAATAAGCTAGCTAACCTTGAGTGAAAGATTGGGTGTATGAGCCAAAAAAGTGGAGTACCAAACAAGCTCACAAACTTAACCTCATCCAGATTGATAACATTTTATTGGAAGTTCTATAGAGCTACACAATTTTCCTTAGTACCCTTTGGGGTTTCAATCCTTTCTGATTGAGATACAAGTAGCTGATGGACTCTGCTCTTCAACTGTATTGGCCAAAAACGAAAAAATGCAGTAATTACGTAAGCATTATTAAATACAATAGTTGCAAGCTCATTTGTGTCCACAAGTAGTAATTAATATAAAAAATGTTCATCATAAAACTATAAAAGGGTGAATCAGAGTACTGACATCATGAAGCCCAATCTCGCTCTTTACGGACACGTGTAACGCTCCGTCGGGTCCCATTTTCCTGTACTTTACAAGCTCGGGATGGTCTGTTTTGCTATCTTCTGTTACAAAGATGACAGGGGATTCTTGCAGCAGGTCACATTTAGAGACAACATCAAGCCAGATGTGATTACTAAACCTGCCCCTTATTTCCTTATAAATCGCAAACTGCAGTACAAAAACATAAAGAGCAATCAACTCCAAGTTGATGACAAAGAGTTGCAAAATAGACCAATCAAGATCATTTATGATTTGTTTGGACAAAGAGGGATTTAGCAAAAAGAATTTCGAGAGCACCGGACATTGAGTAAATCTTAGTGTGTTTGCAATGAGATCAGAGGAGAAAAGGTTCAATTTTCTGGTAAAGACATACTCCATTTTTATCATTACTTTTGTGCAGATCTTGTTAGGCAGAGAAAGAATAGCAAGGTTAATATGGTAATTGCAGCAATTTTATCCCATATCCAACTATCTCTTCAATACTGTTCTCTTCATCAAAACACCAAACTTTTTTATTTTCTGATTCTCTCCCTCACTTTCTTTGCTACTCTTCCTTCCCAAAACTATCCTAAATAAAGGTTTAGAGAAACTGGTGCTCTTTATTGTCCTTCCACACAACACTACATAATTTGTAACTAGTGAATAAAATCACTTGCTAATATCATTGACACACGGGGTCTAACTTACACCAAAGTTGTTAAACTCGAGATCCTAGCACGGATCAGAAGAGGGTATGGAGATTGTAACTCAGGGGTCATAAGATCCTAGAATTATAGCTACCAAGCAGTATTTATATACATTTATATGATTACTTAGATAATTTAAAACTTTATTATAACTCACCCATAATAACTAACATTAATAACATACAATTTTTTTATGTATAACCATATAGACTCTACTATGGAGTATGGAGTCATATGGACATATGTGGCTTTATCATAACCATTCATTTTTATAGTGAAAGACTCCATTATAAAAATGTGTGGTTGTGATGGAGTCACATAGGTGTCTATATGACTCCATAGGGGAGTCATATATGACTCCACAAAATTTCCCTAATAACATAAATACACAATGTCAAGACTCAAGAGTCAAGACAATAAATTAAAAGACTTAAGAACCAAATAAAACGAGTTCAAGATAGACTGCAAAACATTTAAACATAATAATGTGTCGAGACAGTAATGGGAGGAAAACATTTAGAGAAAATTCTTTAGCAAATGAAGAAAGGCTGAGAACAAAGGCATCAGATCGAAAGGCTAATCTGCTAATGGATTAGAAGATGCAAATGAGATAGACTTATATAAGTATAATAAGCACTCTGGATCCTTGTATAACGTTGCACCCATAATCCTTAAAGTTTTGAAGAACAGAAAAGATGCAGAGAAGAAAAGCTGATCCACTGATGAATTAGAAGATGTAAATTAGACAGACGTTTATAACTACAATAAGGAGTCTGGATCCTTGTATAACGTTGCATCCTCATTTCTTAGAGTTTCCAAGCATCTGGACTCTGAATTCCGTTTGAGCAGCCTGACGCTTCACAAGTGTTTTTTTTCTTCAAAATTTCCTTCATTGATGTACCGGACCGACTCTATGCTGTTGTACCATCATTACCCTCGAGCAGATTGACTTAATGCGCCGATCCTGCGCTCTTATGATATGTCTCATCAAACTGACGGTATTTTCGGATTTTTTCCAATCTAACTTATGATCCAGGTCGCCCATAGCTCTCCTACTCATAAGATCAGAAGATCTAATGAGTTACGCGCGATCTTAAGTCTTAACAACCTTGACTTACACTATTAATATTGAAGAAGAGAAACTCTGGAGTTCATCAATAAGAACTATCTTATATACAGCCTTAGTGAACTTGAAGCCAAATAAGTCTAATATTAATGCAATTTGCTTATGTACCTGATCGGAAGGTGATGTCCCACACTCCCCGGATAAATCGTGAACATAAAGTACAGCTGTCGGCAAGTGACTCAGAACAGCAATCGTCAACTTCTCCAAATTATTCCTGTCCTCTGCATATTCACTCAAAGGATATCAAATACAATTCTACAAAACACAAAATCTAACTTCACCTATTTCATTAACAGCAAACTAATTATATTGTCAGACAAGATTTTGATATATAAGAATAACACAAAAATTGCAAACAGTAACAGAGGTTTTTTTATCTCCATCCCTCTGTCTCTCAGAGAGTCTCAGTATTTCAAATACAGGGTTTCCCTAAAATATCACTTAAATAAAATTTATGGACAAAATGTGACTAAAGTTGCTATGAGTATAACATCGTGGTTGCTATAGTTTAAAATTGAACATAATCATAGTCGCTAAAAGTTACTAATGTAATCATTGAGAAGAGGTCACATTTTTGTACACCATCTTTATTTGAGCGTTTACAAGTCATTGTTTCATATAAGTATGTGTATATCCACTTGAGTCATACCATCACGCCGCCTCAAGATACCAGGGGTATCAGTAACCTGAAGACAAAAATTAAGGTGTAAGTGAAGTAGCAAAATTACACAAAGATTGGTAAAATTTACTGCCATAGAAGACAATAAATAGTAAACCTGAAAATTCTGGTAGCTCAAAGTAATATGCCCCATTAAAATTCCTCGAGTTGTAAACGGATAATTGCAGATCTGAAGTTTATGAAAAATATGGGTCCATAGATTAATAATAGGGAAAGTGAAAAAATCTAAGGCCTACAAAAAGAGTACTTGAAAAAGTGTGCACCTCTGGTTTCCCGGTTGAAAGTACACGAACCAAAGATGATTTACCAACATTAGGAGCGCCCACAAGACAAAGAGTTGGAGTTTCCAAATCAATAACAGGCATTGCTCTCAATGTCTACACCCAAAGTAACAGTCATTAGAAAAGGAAATTGCTAAATTAAGGGCATATTGCAACTCTCTTCTGAATGCCGCTTGAAAATACAAAGTCAAAGAAATGGAAAAGGGAGCAATTTTGTAATGAAATTTCATTTATTTGCATTATAGAAAACTCTACCAAGTGCTTCATGTTTCCCATGAGGCTATGACATCTTACCTTGGCAATATCCATCAGCTCATCAACAGCCTTTCCTTCACTTTGAAAAATGTCTTCAAGGTTTTTCATTCCCTGTATATCAAATCTCCGGAAACAGGTTTCAGAAATACTAGGACAAGTTACTCATTCCACTTCTTATTCTTAAAAAAATTGAGTAATTATGGACAATTAAGTCATTCAAAGTGAAGAAATCTGTTGACCTCACTCAATCGCTCCTCCGCTTCACGCTTTGTCGATGACTGCAAAAGTATGTGAAAATTTAGCTTTCACCTTGACACTAGAGATGTCAATGGAAAAGGGACAATGCATGGTCAACTGAAAAAATCAAATTAAACTAGCCTACTAAAGTCATGAGATTAAACAGATAAAGGAAAAGTATTCTACCTTGGCACAGAGAGAGGCATGTTCTTTTCCAACTGACACAACCTTCTTCCTCAATGCATCAATCTTTCCCAAAGCCTGTCAACCATAACAGTAGCTATTAAATAAGACGAAGTCACTAAGATGAAAAGGGGAAAGCTTAAAACTGTGGTCACATTTGAAGCATTACCGCTTCATAGTTTCCATCTCCTAGTGTCAACTCAATCAAAGATCTTTCATAAGGATGCAAACACTGTTTTATTGGGAAAGTCTCCTTATATGTCTTCAATGGAAGAGCTAGCTCCTACATACGGAAATAATATGAAGCTCTTTTTCATTTGAAACAGCCAAAAGCATAAGCTTCATCTGCACACATTAACTAATTTTTTTAACCTTCAACAGCGCATCAAGTTGTTTTGCACCTCGATTTCTCTCTCGCTTTGCAATATTAGCAATGCCTGCTTATAAAGAAGAATTAATGCCATGCTATTTTTTATTATTATCTTTGTCTTTGTTTAGAATCTGGGAAATGCTAGTTAAAGAAAATGGGCTGAATATAGAGGTATAATCAGGAGGGAGTAAATTTGGGAAAAAAGTGGTACAAACTCAATAAAACCCTTTAAGATATTTCTTCAAACTCATTTTAATTACTAATTTCTATTTTATAAAGACTAAAAAAGTAAAAATCTTAATATAAGTGATTTTAGAAAAATGTTTCATTCAAATTTCAGTTTTCTTCATATTTTTCAAACTGAAACCAAACAAAAAAAATGTTCATTTTCCATTTTTTTCTCCTCCCTACCATTTTCTGAATCAAAACATGGGCTTAAATGCTTAATCAAGCTGGTGACTAATACTAAAATTAATCATCTAATATTAGACTGCTCGTACAACAACCCACCTTTTGTAGGTGAGACCTTCTTTGCTTTCCTCAGTGCTGAATATAATATATCCACTGATGGCATTACCATGGGTAACTTTTTAAAGGCACCCGTGTTTTCTAATGCGGTAGTTGATTTTACCTGAAAGAAAAGACAAATTGCATCCAGTTGAATGTAAAAAAACACCCCATTAAGTGGGTTTACAGCCAATTCCAAATCAATATATTTTTGATGGAGGCCAAAATGAAATGAAGTAGGATAGATTTGCAATAATAAATAGTAATGATGATTATTAAATTCTAGAAGAACAATAAATGCCCTAAAGGCCATTCAAGGGGTCACTTGCCGAACTTTAGACCCCAGTATGAAATATAGATTCAGAGACATGATTGCAGGTGATAAGGAAGACCAACAGTTTCCTTCCAAATTCTAATTGTGTACGCTCATGTATTTACTGGATTAAGAGAAACATAGGGTCCATTTCAAACATGGAAAATGTCAGGGAAAGAAAATAGAGACTAGAGAGGAAAGTAAAGGATAAATTTGGAAGGAAATAAAATCTTGAGACATTAGGACCATTGGTTCAAACTTCAAACTGAATTAATTTTTTTTAATATTTGTTCAAAATCATTTTTATAAATACTAAGAAGTTGTTCCTTACAATTTGTCAATTTCCTTTCCTAGCATATTCCGAGTCCATACATAGACACTGACATTAAACCTTTGTCCAAGTGCCAATATACAGAAAGATACTTACTCTTTCATCCAGTTTAGAATCATGATTCGGGATGTAGCTTCCATTTACAACTTCATAAGCAGTGGTTTGCACCTGCTTGCACCAGCAAGACATAGGATGCATAACTCTTCCAATCACTGTGTACTGACCTATTCCAATTGAAATATAATAAAAGAAACATAAAAGAGAGAGAAGTTGAAACATAAACACTGAAAATTCCCACTGAATCATGCAGATATGCATGAATTTCAGTATACGAGAGAGAGAGAGAGAGAGAGAGAGAGAGAGTACTTTTGGAGAAACTGCAGCTCCTGAGTAAGCGTGTGGATGAAGGAAGTTGCCATATCTGTGATAGACTTGATGTCCCACTCATTCCCTTCCTTAACTGAGCGATAAGGAGCTACGGAATACATCTCCTCGGAGAAGAGAGGGGTAAATTTGAATTTGTCGGATCAAAATTATCATTAAAATTTAAAATGGACTGACTGTCACAAACGACCAAATGAAATAAAGTTGTGGGCTTGGCCAATTTCCGACTGTCCGAGTGTATACTCCTATTTTTCTCATCAAAGCTTCAAATGCCCTTCAATTTTTGAGCATCTTTATTGCGAATTCCAGTGTTAATAGCTTGTATAGGGTAGCAAATTTCTATATTACAAAGGCCCTTCAATTTTCCTGGAAGTGATACTTTCGTCTTTAATGTCTACATCATTCTACAGACCCCCCCCCCCCCCCCCCCCCCCCCCCCCACCCAAATAAACTCGGATGTATAAATCCAAAGAAATGGCGTGAAAACAAATTCAAATTATCAATAAATGGTTTTCATATAGAAGAAGAGCTTTACTAGGAGAACTTAAAAAAGCTATTGAGCCTATATGAACAAGAAGACAATTTTGAAGAAAGCATACCTTAAGACAACAGAGACCAGGAGAAGATGGGGGAGAGACGTATGAAAAGGATATCGACAGAAGAAATCTGCAAGGGAATAGACGAAGCAGAGTGAGGCAGAAGAGGCTAATGAGCAATTTCCCGCGAAGTGAAGAAGATAGTCGTGTAGGGTAAAGATACCTGAAAAGAAAGGCTAAGGTAACGTTTTCACTTTTGAGAGTGTATTGGAAAAATAATGAAATAAAAAAAAAAACATTTTCAAAATTAGGGTCATAACCGATCGTTCCATAAAATTCTTCCAATTTTCCTTTTTGAGTTGTCCCAACAAATTCTTCTGACTTAGGATGTTTTTACTTGGTCTGGTCTGATCTGATCTGGTCTAGTCTGGTCTGGTCTGAACTGATCTGGTCTGGTCTGATCTGGTTTGATCTGGTCTAATCTTTCCTGTTCCGCCACCATGCTCATTTAATAGAACTCGTGATTTTCATCGATTTCAATAGAGGAGGTTTGATGCTCAATGAAAATATCGTGATGTTCAACTAACAAAACAACTAACAAATTCATTAATTCTCATTTTGTAAGTTACATATACTCATTTGGTACTGATCTTATGCTCATTTTAATAGGTCTGATGCTCATTAAAAGTTCATAAATGATCATGCACAAGAAACCATGATTTTCATCTCAATATATAGCGGATGTTTGAAGATCAATTAAAATGTCATGATGTTCAACTAACAAACCTTATGATTTTCATATTAATGTGCACTTTGTAAGTTATGCATGCTCATTTAGTACTGATGTTATGCTCATTTTTTAATTGTTATATGAATGCATATTTCAAAAGTATCATATTATATTTGACTCGGATATTAAAATTAATAGGAGTGTATTATAGATATAATATAATAAGTTTTTATAAAAGAAAAAATAAGAAAAAGAAAAAAGAATTATAAGATATGAAGCAGTGATCGTGATACTCATTGTTAGTCTCTTAAATTCTCAATAAAATAAGTCTGATGCTCATTAAAAGTACATTATTGCTCATTTAGCGGAAGACATGATTTTTCGCTTAAATTATAAAAATGCTACCAAATTATTTTTGACTTGTATTAGTTTTGGGCTGTCTACCTTGGTTGGGTCGGGTGTACATACACCTGGATGTACCATATAGGCACTCATACATTTTCACTTTAATCTCACCTCCTTAATATGCGAGCTAAGTCAATGCGGGAAGAATTTTATGGGACGAAGGGAGTATTTCGACACTTCATACCCCAGAGTATTAAAATAAATTTTGACCCATTTGACACCCCCAACTAAAGTTTTTCATTTTCATCTTAGGAAATAATAATAATTTCTTTTAAAAAAAATCTTAGGATATAGTTTTTTTTTTGAACGGAAACTAGCCACTTTCATTAAGCCAATAAATCATTCACCACCTCGCTTACAATGCAATCCGGTATAAAATTATGAGGCCGTTTGGTAACACTGAAATTGGCTGAATTGGCTGATTCTGCTGAAATTTATTAAGTTCTGACTGAAGTAGCTGGATTGGCTGATTCTGCTGATTTATGAAAAAAATTATATTTAAAATATTTTTAATTAATAAAATAAAGAAAAAGTTATATGAAAAATAGCTAAAATCATCTTCTACAGTAACTTCAGCCAATACAGTCAGAAAAGTAACTTCAGCCTTACTCTTTCTTATTATTACACAATTTAGCACGCGAAATCAAAAGTTACGTGTTTGGTGAAAAAGTTGGCTAATAAGCCCGATAATCCGAAAAACAATGTTACCAAACGGGCTCTATAGTTACTCCTATGATCTGAAATTGCAACATGCGCTCTTGCTAAGACATGAGTCGCACGATTCGCAGATCGATTACAAAAAGAGATTACAAAACTACTCTTTGTTTGAAGTAAAAAACGAATATCATCCAAGATCAGGTCCATGTAAGCAATCCCTCCGCTTTTCTATGTCCCTTCAATCACCACCTGTGCATCTCATTCAAACTCCACATTCTCCCATCCTTCCCTGAGCGCTCCAATGATCGCCTCGCAAATTCCAACCGTTTCCGTCTCTGCCGGAGTCCATCACGCTTTGCATGAAGCACCTCCTGCTTTGACAAAATTTTCTTGATCATCCCTTGCAACCCAACCCCATGCCCTCATCCCTTCGTAGTCGTCTAAAGCTACATTCAGGTTCACCTTTATTCATCCCACTCTTGGCCATTTCCACCTCGGCTCTCCAACACGTCCGCAATTTCTCGGCTTCGGGGATGCCTGCTGTGCATCCCTCCATGCCTGCTGCATGCTGGCGCTGCTGTTAATAACCCTGGCAGCTTCCTACCACTCGTCATTCCAAACGAACACATTTCGTCTCTTCCACAGACCCTAAGTCAGCATTGCGACTTTGCATCTTGATTCTTTGTTCGGGGTTGAGAGTAGTTTTTGAAGACATAGTTCCAGAGAGTCCTCCTCGCTATTAACCGCCACCCCCCACTTCCGTCCATACCTCGACAGCTTTCAGACACAACCGCAAAGCATGATTCATTGTCTCCTCGCCTTGCGCAGATAATTTACACACATTTTGAACGACACTCTCTTACGCTCCAGGTTCGTCAACGATGAGAGTGACCCATCTAAAACCTGCCAAAGAAAATATTTTACCTTAGGTGGTATTTCGAGGTCCCATAATTCTTTCCAACCGCTCCATCCTCCTGCTTCCACTCCCTGCATTAATGTTCGATAGCAATTTTTAACCGTGAAGGCCCCATTACTTTCCTTGCTCCACCAATACCATCTTGTTTGTCTTGCAAGCTAATAGGAATGCTATTAATAATCTTGCACTCCTCTGCATAAAAAATGGCCGCAATTCTTTCCCTATTTCATCTTTTTCCAGTGATATCTCTGGAAGCCGCACAACATTCATATCATCTATTCTGGATGGTTTAGCTGATTTAATTCTACCATCCACAGAGCCAGTTAACCACGCATCAGTCCATATCTACACTTCCCTTCAATTACCAACTCTCTATCAAACATTATTTTTCAGTACCCATTGAGTTTCAAAAATACTCCGCCAAATATAGGATGGATTACTACCTGATTTAGCCCTCAAGAACTCAGAATTAGGAAAATACCTTGCTTTTAATACACGTCCCATCGGGCTATCCGGATTTGAAAGTAGCCTCCAACCTTGTTTAGCTAGCATCGCGAGATTAAGTTCCTTTAATTTCATGAAGTCCAAATCGCCTGATCCCTTCGGCTTACACATCAGCTCCCACGGCCTCCATCTAATTCCTTTTTGTTCAAATTTTGTTCCCTTCCACCAGAACCCGTTCATGAGATTCTCATCTCATCACATAAATCCCGAGGTAAGAGAAAAACGTTCATGGCGTAGGTAGGCATCGCTTGCACCACATTCCTGAGTAAAACAACCCTACTGGCCTGGGATAAAAAGTGATTATTCCAGCTTTTTATCTTATTGAACACTCTATCTCGGATAAAACCGAGTATCGCCGACTTTCCCCTCCCGACCAGACTCGACAGTCCGAGATAACGCTGGTGTCCGCCATCCTGTTGAACTCCAAAAAAAAGTACAACAGTGATCTTTAAAAGGCTCAATAACATTCTGACTAAACGTGAAGGCGAATTTAGCAAAATTAATCGCCTACCTTGAACTTTCCTCATACTCCTGCAAAATCTCCTTCACTGCATTACATTCATGTGCAAATGCTTTAAAAATTAGAAATCTATCGTCAACAAAAAATAAATGAGTTGCATGCGGAGCACCCCTGCACACTGCAGCCCCATGAATATCCCCTCTCTGCTAAGCCTTCTGTAACAGAGCACTCAATCCTTCTGCTACAAGAATAAAAAGATAGGGGAATAGGGGGTCCCCTAGTGTAGCCCCCTTCCCGGGCTGATTGGGCTCAAAAAATTCCCATCAAATTGACTGTAGTAGCTAACAGTTCTTACACACTCCATAATGTTGTAAACCCAACGGTTACAAAAACCCATTTTGTTTAGAATCCTTTCCAAAAAAGACCAGTCAACTTTGTCATACGCCTTGCTCATATCAAGTTTGAGTGCTATAAACCCTTCCTTTCCATGACTCTTTCGCTTTAAAAAATGTTATGTCTCAAAGGCAACAATAATATTATCTATTATGGACCTGCCTTGGATAAAAGCACTCTGACTCTCTCCCACCAAAAAGTTCAGAATGCCTTTCAACCTGTTAGCAAGAACCTTCGAAAAAAATTTATAAATCACATTGCACAACGCAATAGGTCTCCAGTCTCCCATGCAGCCCAGTTTGTCTTTTTTAGGGATCAGGACAATATTAGCTGCTAGTGTACCTCTCTCAAACATATTGGCGCACAAGGCCGAAATATCTCAACCCACTACATCCCAGTAGTGGATTCATACCATATGACACGACGTCTTTTCCGGGTGCTTATCAAAAATCGCCGCTTTAACCTCCTCCGGAGAGATTGGTTGTGTTAGCGTGATGTTTTGTTCATCTGACACCCGTGCAAACTCTTCTCTAATGTCTGACACATGATCCACCTCCGGTGCCTGAAATAGAGATAAAAATAATTCATAACACTAGATCCCAACTCGCCCTTATCCGTAATGCACGTCTCGTCAGCCCACTTAATGCCTGACATTTTGTTTATCCTTCTTCTTTGTTTAACAACATTGTGGAAAAACCGAGAATTTTTATCTCCTTCTTTGAACCAAAATTCCTTAGCTCGTTGCTTCCAAAAAGATTCTCCTTTTTCAGAAGAAATTGTAGCACTGTTCGAACCCTCAAAAATTCTGCCACACTTGCCCTATCCTCTTTCCCCAGCAGCCATGTTAGTCTCTCTTTACATGCCAGAATTTTATGTCTAAAACCCCGCCTTCGCCCTCTGTCTCACCGCAGTAACTCAGCCCCGCAAAAATAAATTCGTTCATTAATATTCATATGGGAAGCCGCCCCCCAGCTGCCAGTTACCACCAAAACGACATTCTTTTTCCTTGATCCAATTACTTTCAAATTTAAACCTTTTTCTTCTACTATTCTGGTTAGAGATTTTTACCTTCAAACAAAGAGCCATTTGATCGCTAGCCGGGGCTTCCACTAAAGCTGCCCGAGCCTCCATGAAAGTGTCCCACCACTCATCATTCACCAGAATTCGATCTAGCTTCTCTTCCACCCAATGCGCCGTGCCTTTGCCTCTATCCCACGTCCATTGATAACCCGAAAATGGAAAGTCACGTAGCCCGCAGCTATGAACTGCCTCTTGAATCCATCAGATCCTCCAAGTTGGATGAGGAATACGCCCCTTTTTCCCCGATTCAAAAAGAATGTCGTTGAAATTCCCCCTCAGCAAGGGGATCTCAGAATTTATATAGATAATATCAAAATTTCTATATAGAATATCAAAATTAGAGC